GCTGTCCCGCGGCACGGCTGCCCGGCGGAGCGGGGCTGAGGGCGCCGCCGCGCCCTGGCCCCGCGGGGTGCCCGGGGGAGGAGGCTGCTCGAGGAAGCAGGAAGGGAAGATGCTGCTTCCCACCCACTAATTGCAGTTAATAATTGATCCACGCAGGAGCCAAAGGTCTGCTGTGGGCTCGGAGCCCCGGCACCAAGGGCAGCTGAGCGCCCCGCGAGCCCGCGGCAGGTAAGGAAGGGGCAGGGGCTTGTTCCTCCCTGCTGCCCCTGCCCCTGGGGTGCCCCTCTCGGGGGTCTCAGCCTGGGGGCCGCCGGTGTGACCGCGGCAGCCCCGCGCGGGCGCCTCCCAGAAGCCCCCTGCCACGCAGCAGGCTCCGGCGCCCTGGCAAGACGTGTCCGGCGGCGAGCTGGGGGATTTGCCGGGTGCCTGCCCCTGCCCGGGCTGCGGCCAGGGCTGGACCGGGCCCAGCCTGCCCCTTCCCGTGCCGCCCGGTCGGTCTCCCTTGTGCCCGGGGCAAGGGGCACTGGGACAGCCTGGCTGCCGGCATTGAGGAGCTTTCCGGAGAGCCAGCCGCGTCACTCCCAGCTGCTGGCAGCTCCGTGTTCCCAGACGCTTTCTGCCCCCTGATAAGGCACCGTCTACGCCCTGCGGCCATGGCAGGGGCACCAGGGCCGGCCTGGCCGGGCGGGGTGGCATCCTCCATGGCGTGCGTCACGCCCAGGGGACTGCTCGGGGTGGATGAGGGGTGTGACAGAGCTGGCATCCGTGCTAACAGCTTCCGCCTTCGGCAGGATGGCCTGGCGCCCGCTGCTGCTGCTCCCCTGGCTCGTGGCAGCAGGTAAGGGGCTCGTGCAGCTAGCGGGGAGGGGGCACCCCTGGGGCTGGGGGGGACACCCCCTGGACATGCCGCGGGCAGTGCCAAGCTGATGGCGGAGGCCCAGGGGTTCCTCCCTCCAGCCCCCGTGGAAGCCCTGCCCCGTTCGTGGGCACAGCTCGGAGCCGGGCGCTGCCTGGGGTGGGAGGGCGCCGGGCGGGACCCCTCGGCAGCCAACGCTTTGCAAACACCTCCGTTGCAGTGTCAGGCAACACGGCTCCCGTCTTCAACATGACCTTGGTAGACGTGCCCGAGGACCTGCCCCGAGGTGAGTGTGTGGGGTCAGCACCCCGTCTGCTCCCCGTTGCCGGCTGCATCCAGGGCCCCGGTGCTGACCCTGCCCCTGCGCCCACAGGAGCCGTGGCCTTCGTGCTGACGGCCTACGACGCTGATGGGGACCCGCTGCACTTTGGCCTGGAAGGTGCAGATGCCTTCTACTTCAGCGTGAACTCGAACACGGGCAACGTGACGCTGGTAGCTTCGCTGGACCGCGAGGTAGGCACCGGCGCCAGGGCCAGGGCCGGCTCGGGGGCACCCTGGGCAGGCTGAGGTCGACCCTCTGCCTTGCAGGGGTAGCCGTGGCCCCTCGCCTGCTCCCCAGGGCTAGGGGGGCACCGGCATTGCAGCATCCCCGTGCAGACAGCAGGGCAAGCTGCCTGGTGCTGGGGGGGTCGGAGCTGGTGACCCCCCGCTGCCCCCATTCTGCATTTCCCTCCAGACCAAGCCACGGCTCAGCCTCAACGTCTTGGTGTCCGATGGGAAAAACCAAGTGGTGAGTGCGGGTCCCAAGCGGGGCTCTGGGGCACACGGCGTCAACGTGGCCCCGGCACAGAGCAGCGGGTGGGGGGTGGGCAGCTTCCCTCCTGCCCCCTGGCAGTAGCAGCTCTCTGGGAACTGCCAGGCAGGGGCAGCACCTGCAGCTCCCGGTGGCCGGGCAGGGGGTCCGTGCTGTGCCCGGAGCCTCCGCCCCAGTCCCCCACGTAGATCCGGGGGCCAGGCCTGGCCCCTGGCCCTGAGCCGGCACTCTGCTCCGACAGGTCACCAAGAGGCTCACAGTGATCGTGGAGGACAGGAACGACAACCGGCCCCTGTTCCAGAACGAGCCCTACACGGCTAACGTCCCCGAGGTGCCCACGCCGCACCCTGCTCCCTCCCGAGGCCCCGCACCCTCGCTGCTCTCCTGGGCCAGACCGAGGTGTCTGGGCCCCGAGCGAGATCCCAGGATGCGCAGGGCCTGGCACTGCCCCCCAGGCCAGAGGCAAGGCCCTGGGGGCTGGCTGAAAGAGCCCGGCAGCTCGGGCAGCAGCCATCTCACGTGCCCGGGCTGGCTGCCGGGGTC